GCAGGGGGTTGGAACTAGACAGTCTTTAAGGTCCCCTCCAACCCAAACCATTCTGTGATTCTGTGATAAAAATACCGCCATTAGCTAATTAGGTACTGATTGTATAAGTATATGGATATATAAGGATATGAAGAAGTTTAAGTAGAATTTCAAAAGAACTTGTAAAAACCTCAACATTTCTCAAAGGAATAACAGAGAGGAAACTGTCATTATGCCTGCTTTTTAAACAGAAAAACAGCTCCCTGTGCCTTTCCCACAGCTCCTTGCTAGGGTGGCAGTAGAGCTGATACGCAGAGGTGTGCGGAGGTCCAGCCTAGTGCTGTGCAGGCTGTGCTCAGCTCACCTCTTGGCATTCCTTGGTTTGTTTCAAACATATAGGCACTCCCCAAGAACCAGACCCATCAGAGCAGACAGTGGAGCACTATTCTCACTGCTGTTTGTCTGCTGCTGGAGCCTTCAAGCTACAAAGAGCAGCAGGAAATGTACAGGGAGCTTTGTCTTCTTCATTAAAGGAATGAAGTATGAGTTCCCTAAATAATAAATGCTAACTGGAAAATATGTCATCATGCATTTCAAAAGAAACAAGAAAATCTCAATGTTCAGTCCCAACTAAATCTCAAAAAAAAAAAAAAAAAAAAAAAAAAAAAAAAAAAGACCTGAAATTTAGAGCATAAAAACCAAGACAGCTTTGGTGAGAAGAAATTTCACATTGTTTTCTTCTATTTAAAGTATGATCAGTGACAGCACCAAATAAACATTGAGCAATGTTTATCAGAAGCTGTTTAATTAGAAAATGGTACCATCGTTAACCCTGCATTTTTATGTATACAAAAGCTTGGTTGTCACCAGTAGCCAGGGGCAGCTCTCTGCTTGTAATTAAGAAAATGTTTGCGTTTTCCATTTTCTCACAATGCCTTATTATTAAAAAAAAAATAAATAAAATAAACAAGGGAAAACTGACACTTGTAAGGCATTGGTCTGACTGAGAAGGGTTTGTCTATTTTTTGTCAGCAAAAGCTGTCTTTGTTGTTCCTGCATTTTAATTAAACTTCCTCACATACAAGGGATGAGACCAAAACTCATTTTGCAATGAATTCCAGCCACCAGAGCTGGGTTAAGGTGTAAGAAGAACCAACCGTGACGCACCAGTTCCCTGCTGGGGGTAAGTAATGTTGTAAATAAACATTCCTGCTCTTTAGCATACTTATATATATAACCTTTCTATATGCTCTGAATAGCAAGTCAGGCTCTTGATTTATGGCATCGTTTCCCAATAGAGGCCCAACACACAGGTAAGCAGAGACGGTGGATGTGCTTTGCTGTAGCAAATGGCCAAAGTGGAGGAGGTAGGAAGAGAGAGAGTTCAAGAAAAAAAATAATCTTTCTGTGACCTAGTAATGGAACTACATGTTCTCCCTCTCAGCATAACTCTTCAGAGGAGTCAATGTGAAAAGTAAACACTCATTTTAAAAAATTGATTAAATACCTTAGAGCGCTGGGGGAGACTGGATTCAAGTGACAGCTTGACAAGTGGAGCCTGCCAATCCCTGGCAGCTCTCGTTAGTCAGTCTGTACCACAAACCCAACTAGAGCTGCCAGCTGCAGCTCCTGCGTGTTCGCTGCCTTACAAGCATTGAGCAGAAGATGGGCCAAGTCCCACAGGCCTGGGCCTGTTTGGGTGTCAAGTCAATTGTCATCCGAAATCACTGGGACTTCTGCTGAAATCACTGGGACTTCTACATGGTGGCTGTGGGACAGGCAGTCAGCTTGCCCAATTAAAACCTTAAAAGTCCTGTCTTTATCTAGTGAATGGTGAATTTCAGGCATGTTGTGTGTACTGTGCAGGAAAATGCCATGATTGTTCAAAAACTTTCCTCAGGTTCTGGAAAGACACCTTCATATTCAAAAACTTGTTCTTGCTGTGAGAAGTAAACAGGTCTCTTTGCTTTATCCATTGGCTTTATCCATCCTGGCAAATCTGACAGTACATTTTCCCTAGCCAGCACTGAGTTTTAAGTAAACAAACTCACTTTGCTGTCAGATTATAAAGTGCATAGCACATTGTAGCAGTTGATAAATTGAGGGATAAACTGATTATGGTGATCAGCTTGAGTGTTCATTTCACACGGTGGCCGCATAGAGGTACATTTCTGTTCCATGCTCAACACCTAAGCTGGAGCAGTGGTACTGCACGAGCAGTGGTTGTTCTTGTGGAGTCCTGCCTTCTTCTTGCAAGAGGAAAATGAAGTATGGCAATAAGAAAGGAAGAGTCTTGCTATTTTCTGACATCTGCTTCTTGTATCTCAAAGTCCTTCACCTCTGGCTATCGTTAACACCCCACTGTGCTGCCTCACTTCTCTAGGCAGTATTGCAATAACAGAGCATGAGTTGTTACTCTGTCTCTGTGTGGTTCTTATCATGGTTGAATATAAATCCCTACCAATCTCTCTGTTCCTTTTACATTTGCATATTTCCCCATATTTATTTATTCAGCTATTGCACCAAAATGGACTCTTGCCAGCTGTAGTTGCATTTCAGTTATTGAGAAGAACTGTTTCTAAAAGATGATGAACACTCACAGTAATTATATTGCTAATAATCCATTTCATAGAAATCATAATGGAGTCAACATCTAAGTAGTTAAAATGTCTTGTGTTAGTGTGATTTTTTTTTTTTTTTAACTGAAATAGCACAGTGCTGTTTAAATTTAACCTACTAGTGCCAGGAGTTTCCCAGTCCAGGTAATGCATTTCCGTCCAGTGTTCTATTCCAATCAAAATACCTTAAATAGCCCTTTTCCAAAGCACTTGGAGCACATAGAAGTAAACTAGCAGAGGGAGGCTGTAAACTTGGCCTTTCCTCCTGCTAATCCAGAGTTAACACATTAGCTGTTTACATTGATGAAAACAGCCATGCTTCATCTGCTGGACAGCTGGGATACCTTGCTGCTGAACAGAGCAAAATGCTGCCTCTGATGACAGTGAAGCCTCCTCCACAGTACTGCCATGTCTGAGTCACTTGTGAGAGGGGACTGGAGGAAGGCTTGGGACAGACTAAAACATTGGACAAAAAAAAAAAAAAAAAAAAAAAAAAAAAAAAGGAGGAGAGTCTTTTCTGGGGCAATTGGTTTTGTCTCAGCTCAGCTTAACATCATGCCCTGCTGGCCACAATTGTAGTACAAGCATGAAAGTTGCCCGGCTTCTTGCTGGTTTCTCAGAGCATTACCTTTGCCTCCATTTTGTCCAAATTTCTGCAACACTTTTTTTCACTGGCTTGTGTCTCTACAGGGCGAAGCAGGACTGAGCTGCCAGTGTTTTGGTCAAGAGCTGCAGCTATGGGACACACTGCAGCAACACCTGCAGACAAATCCAGCAGGAGTGTTCAGCCTCAGCATCTCAGCTGTGTATCTCCTCACCACATGAAAGATGCGTCCAGCTGCTCTCTTCCTAAATCCAGGAGCCTGGCTGTGCTGCCTAGTGGCTGTTTAGCCACACCAAAGTGACATTAAAGATACTACAAGCTAGGAGCTTTGATATACTTGTTAGGTTACCATCAAAGTATTTGTGCCATTTCCAGGTATTTTACTTAGCAAGTGACTCTTCTGCTTCGCATTTTTTACACAGAGCCCAAGGACAACTTGAATGACCAGACAGCTGGCCTGCCTACACCAGTGTCCTGAAGAACAAGACTTTTTAGATGAAAACATCTAGAAGATCTGTACAGAATGGTCTTCTACAGCAGGAACCACCAACACTGGTGATACTTTTCTGCTTTGCTCTCCTCCAGTCAGACGAAGTTTTGGCATCTTGTGCTGAAGATCTTAAATTTGCTGTAAAAATGTGAGCAAAAGTTTTGTGGCCTCTGATAAGCAGAGAGCATTTTGCTTTTTGCAGACCTGTCTGAGTAGAGTCTTACAGAAGCTATGATTATGTAGGGGCTTATTAGTTAGAGAAAGAGGAAACACAACATAAAGACAATATCAAGGCACTTGATGCTCGATTTAACTCAGAAATAACAACCAGCATCCATTTTAATGGATCTTTGTGTTTTCTCTCCAGAGAGAAATAGGCACTTAAAAAGACATCGAGATGCTATTTGAATGTCTTCTGAGCTGAATTTCATTGCATAGCTCCTAGAGGGCAAAACGGCAGCACTTTATTTTTCATGGGTAACAGGAAAAGCGACGGGCAGAAGGAACAACTCCCCCGTGCCCATCTCTGCCTGGTGCTTAATGACCTGGGGATGGTGTGTGTGTGAAAGCCTCACAGCCCGTGCCTCTTCCCTCTCGAGTGGATCTCTGCCCACCTCAGCGTGCCAGCACCCGGCTGCTCAACACAGGCCTCACCCCGGCCCTGCTGAGGTGATGGCGCTGAGGAGCCGCTAGATGGCAGGCAGGGCCCGGCACAGCGCCTCGGCTGCTCGGCCTGGGGACCTGAGGGGGCTGAGGGGATTTGGGGGGCTGAGGGAGTTAGGGGGGCTGGGGAGTGTCGCAGTCCCCCACACAGTCACCACTCACAAAGAGCGAGTGTACCCCCATCAGTGCTCCTCGAGGGGGTGGCAGGCAAAAGCCTTGCATGTTTGCGTTGCCCCTTTCACCTGCCAAAAGGGCATTTTGTTGTTGTTTGGGGGGGTTGTTTGTTTGTCTGAGGCAAAAGACAGAAGAGGTTAAACTTTAGGCTCGCTTAAATTCTCAGCGTTTCCTTCTTGTGCACTCATGTTGGTGCCCTGTGCACGTCCTGCCCCAGCGATAAGGATGATCACAGCTGTCCTTCATGTCTACCCTCATGAGGCAGGGCAAAAGCAACTGGAGGGGTTCTTGGCAAAGTGCTGGTGTGAAGTGAGCGGATGAATGTGAGTCTTGACAGCAGGGACCAGGGGTTTGTAACCAGTCAGATGAACAAACTCAGGTTATTGCTCCAAAGTTGTCCAGACAGAGCAATTGGGAGTTATTTCCCCATGTGGTTCCTGCTGAGAACAAGAATATTTTACGTCTCCCCACATTTGCTGTTAGATGGTCTCAACAGGCACCTGTTGTTGGATGCCCCTTTGGGGAATCCCAGTCATCTGCTTCACCCATTTGTATTTGTGCTCTGAAGACACCTAATTGCGATGGTCCCACAGGCCAAGAGCTGTGTTTAGGCCATTTAAACTGGCTCCTGCATGCAGCTCTTGCTGGGTGGTGCTGGAACAAACCAAGGGAAAAGCTGTAGGGATGGGCTGTCCAGGCAAGTCCTCGTGTCCCTCTGGGGACAGCCAAGAAAAACAGCAGGGGATGCTGCCACAGCAGCTGCCATCTCACGGCTTCAGTTTCTTGCTGTAAATACTGATGGTAAGAGAAACCCAGCCCACAAGTCAGTCTAAAAGAAGCATGTAACAAATGGGCAAGTACGGGGTCTGCTTTCACCTGATAAATCTTCTGGTTTTCAGTAATCAGTGATTTAGGGATTCCCAGTTCTTTTAGTCTCAAACTTCAATGCTAGATAGCCTGCTCAGGAACTGCAAGAACCTTTTCCATGGGATGTATTGCCACAACAAGGCTGCAGAAATATGGGGATCTGGTAGGTTCAACTTATGGCCTTTACAAATATGAGGGATATTACATTTAAGAGCAATCTACCATATACTTGGTCTTAAGTTTAGTAAGCTTTTATGCAGTCAATACTCATATTCATTTCATACACTTCTGTTGCCTGGTAGTAAATAAGTCAGCCAGTACTTTTTTTGCTGTCAATATTCAGTGTTTTCAGTATTTTTCCCAGTTCATAAAGCAGAAACCCTACTTAAAGCTTACAATTCTTCCTCAGGTTCCTATTAAGAAGTGAGAATTTGAATCAAAAGTAGGCTAGATTTAATTCACTCCATAACCTCAACACTCTCCAGATTTAATTCTCTCTTACACAAGGCACTCACTGAGTGGCAGTCAAGCAAGGCAAAGACTCTTCTTCAACTGGGAAACTGAACTGAACTAGGACTGTGCATGTTTAATCCTGTAGTGCTGATGTGATAAGCATCTTGGTTTAATGAGATATGCTCATACCAGTTCTGTAGCTCTTGAGGGCATGCAGATGTTTGCATCGGCTGGTTATAGGCTGATTTCTGAAATGTAGGATTTTCCACTTAGGGTTGCAGCAGTAGTCCAGGCTGCACCTCTGAGAGCAGTCAGAAGCAGCTGTATGTTGAGAAGGAATATTGCAAAAAAACATAACTGACAGAATGCAGATGTGGGTTAATCAGTCCTCCACAGCGGTCTCATATTGATCCAATAAATTAGAGACAGGAATAATCTTTGACATGTGCAGTTCTTAGTGACTGGTGTACTTCACAGGAGGTTGACTTTTATCCTATTCTCTTCCCATTCCTTTCCTTCTCTTTCCCTTTTCCCTGGAGAACACACTTTGGGTGGAAAGTATGCTCTACACAGAGCACTGCATGTGACAGGAAGAAAATCTCTCCAGCTTGACAATCTGGCTTCATGAGTAAAAACTTCTTTATCTTATTTTTTAAGCAGATAGTTTTGGAAGTAGATACAGCTTTGTCAGATTGTTATCCCACTGGTTGGTGTCTTTTTATTAGTGTAAAAATAAAATAATTTTCTTTCTGCCTTTTCCATTAGGTAATTAAGTTGATAGACATCATTCAAAATCTTGTTTAGGATTTTAATATTCTCAGTGGCTTTTTATTTTCATTTAACAAAGTCAATCTTGTTTAAAAAAATATAAAACTTAAATCATTTGACCCCATTGCTCTAACACTGAGTGAGTTATGGATTAACTTTCAACAGCGTATAACAAGATTTTGATTGCTTGGTTTGAGTCAAATCTGTGTTTGCCCCTGTTTTGGCTCTTGGGCTTGGTATTCTATATGTTACTGTATGTCTTTGACCCTTGTCCAGGGTAGGGATCCTGTTGCATGTAGAGCTATGTGTACAGGTAGTAAGCAGAGCCAGCCAAACCTAAGATATCATGGGATTTATTTTATTATTTTTTTTAATGTGGTTTTGATCCAAACTGGGTGGAAAACAGCATTTTTTTTCAGAATTTCCAGCAAACGGAAACCTCTGCAGTCCCTGGAATGGCTCAGTTTAACCAAAACACTTGTCACTTCCACTGTTAACAGCACCTGCCCCCTCCCCAGGCAGCTGTAGGAGCTCTCAAAACCCTCCCAAAAGCTGGGCAGACCCCCACCTCGGCACACCGAGGTCCCTCAGCCCCAGGGCAGGCATTGGGAGCAGCTGTGCTGAAGCCACAACCTGCCAAACTGTCTTGACAAAAATTTGCCAGTTAGAACATTGCCTGTATTGCCAGTAAATGCATTATTTTGTCCTACCTGAACTTGGCTGATTTGAAACTTCGGCAGATCTTCAGAGGCACAGATTAGCCTTAGTACCACCTTACTCTCTTACATCTTTTCCTTTTGTGCTGTTGCTTAATCACTGCCAAGGACTGTGCCCTCTTAATGCTTTTAAATTAATATATATATACATGTATATGTGTCATTGTATTTGTTATTCAGTTTGTGCAATAAAATTTAAATATGGCTGGAGTCAATAACTCCTTAATTCAGCAGCTTTGACAGCACAATTTCTCCATGGGATGAGGCAATAAGCACATTCTGCTATACTATGGATACCTACGTGACATGGGAAGCATTTTATCAGTGACATGCTCTCTTCTTGTTTCTATATTATGAGTTTTTATCTCAATGTTTTCAAAGTCACCAATATATCCTAAACTGAACTTAGGGAGGGAAGGCCACATCTTAGATCTTGACAGTCCTCTTAACTTTTGGTGGAAAGCTGAACTGGTAAAGCACTCAAACAGTGGTTTCTTAATAGCATCATTAAACACTTTGATTCAGAACTATATTGATTCCTGTGTATCAACATGACTTGTAGTTACTGCTCTTTGTAAAACGTGGTTTACCCTGAAAACAGGCTCTGTAACAGGGGAGTGGAAGGCAACCTACACAACATTAGCACAAGATGTCTACAAATAACCCTGCCATCCTCCTGAGACCCCCACTAAAAACAAACAGCTCTGCCAGAGCCTGGAAAAGTCTGATTCTTTTAACTTGTGTCTTTTCACATCATAAAGCACTCTGGAGATTTCAGGCCTACCAGCTTTTGCCAATAATCCATTAAAGGAGAAACAAACCCTCCATGCAGCAGAAAATGAGTGGTTGCTGTCATGATCCTGCACTGGGAAAGGAGATCAAAACGTGGCATAACCAGCCAGATAGACTGAGCTGCCCAAGCTTTGGTTACTGCTTTCTTCCATTGTCTGGAACAGGAGAGCGTGATGCTGAGCTGTTTGTTCCATGTGGAGAAGCCAGCCAACACTTCAGGATCAGGGTGGTCTTGCTTTCCTCACTCCTCATTCCTCCTTTCCTCTTGCCAAGTAAACTAAAGCTTTAGGGGCATCACATTTTCTTTCTCCTGCAACTGAAGGAAAACAATGGCTCTAAACTGACTGTGACCAACGAAGGGTCTTATTTTGCCGAACCTCCTTTGGCTTGCTGCAGGGGTAGATGTCCTTTCTGAGGGGAGCATTGCCTGGTGGGGATAGCTGCAGAACCACCTCACCTGGTGGGGAAAGGGAGCAGAGGGCTGGGAACCAGGTCTGTCAGTCCATTCATTCCTCCTCAGTCCAGGTGATCTGGCCTTCATCAGCAGCATGTCCATGCAGCAGGCAGTGATGAGCAGCTGAGGGTAGGGATGTCCAGCAGAGCTGGAGGAGGGCAGTGGGGAAACGTAGGTGAGGAATAGCAACACTTGGTTGCTGCTGCCTTGCACTCCAAGCTGCCTGGGGCCAGTTTGATTCAGTTGCTTTTTACACTCTGCACAGGCTACACTGGGCTGTAAACAGGAGAAACGAGATGCTTCTGAGTTTTGTCCATGTAATTGTCTGGGCTCTTGATTTTTGCCAGAGGAACCAAGTGCAGTTTTGGCACCGTTCTGCCCTTCATAGTCCTGCCACAGAAACAAAGTGCAGAGCGACTTCAGCATTCACTTTTCTCATGGAAAAAGGACTTAGAGTGGCCTAAAGAAAAGAATAAAGAAAGAAAAATAATCGGCAGTAGTTTGCAGTTTGGGTGGAAATCCTTTGAAGAATTTTGGTAGGGGAGGGGAAGCGTGGCAAATTGTTGCTGAAATGGAAGTGTTTCATTCAGTGCTGAAATGGAAGTGCTTCATTCAGTGGAAAATTCTGACTTGTTTTCCAAAAACATGAAAGAGAGCAGTTAAAGCAGAGCTGTAATGCCTCTTAACAGTTGCAGTTCCCACTTGCAGCTGCCTTTCTCCTCCTAGGGCTGGAATCCCAAGCTGGCTCCTCAGCCCCCTTGCCCTGGGAGGCCCTGGCCTGGCTCTGAGGGGTGGGCAGTGCGGTGACCCTGGCCTACAGGACAGCTGCAACTCTAGTCTAAAGACCCTGCAACTGTCATTTTTCATTTACATTGAACATTAAACATTTACATGTTTATTGTCATATCTCAAATTTACATTTTCTGACAAAAAACATGTATGACTGGGGTCATATATTCACATGCATAAATTCCTCTTCAATCATTTCTCTCATCAGCAACAAAAATGCTTGCCGTCATCAGCTCTTCATACATGTTCTTATTTTCTTCTTTAAAGGACTCTTAGGCTCCCAGACTCTTAGCTTGCCCTCACTTCTGAGTTTGTCCTGGGGGTGAGGTGGAGGCAGTCACAAGCCGTGCCTTGGCGGCAGCCCAGGGGGAACCACAGGATGCACCAGGTGGGGAGGGAGCAGGATCCACAGCACAGTGGTGGGACGTTTTGGAGAGAGAGAGTGTGTGTGTGTGTGTGTGTGTGTGTGTGCGCGCGTGCGTGCACCTCTGGGGCCTGGGCCCAGCTCCACAGCTGTCAGCCAAGGCAGCAGTGCGAGCTCTCAACACCACTTGCCACCTGTGCTAAAGGATCCCTGGCACCAGTACCAGTTCTTGTTGAGTTTGGCTACAAATGCAGGGCACAAACACTACTCATCTGCTGTACCATGGGTTTTTTACTAGCTGTGTAATTGGTGAGTCAAGGAGGGCTAATCTTGAGGAGTGGCTGGAGCTATTAAAACTGATGCTACCTTTGGACTGAGAAAAAAGGAACAAAGTTTGAAGCTGGTTCTGAATGAACGTGATGCTGCCTGCAATGAATGCCTCTTCTTTCATCAGCCAGTGACTCACTCAGGAGTGTCTAACCCAGTGACTCCTCAGAAACAAAACTTCAGCGGCCAGCTCTTCTGTTTAGACTGGTATCAGGAAGAAATCAAGGGCTTGGTTTGTTGCAGTCCAGTGCAAAGTAGTGTGAGATGCTTCCGTTCCCAATTGGTAGTGTTCTCCTGCAGCCTTGGTCTGGCACAGAGATTTGGCAACCTGCAGGAGAACTTGAATGTGCTCTTATGACATTGGAAATCTTGGCCAAGATGTTTACCAGGCAGCATCCAGCAGAGCCCTTGTGTTTTATAGGTAAGGAATCACTTCTCGTACAGGGTGGTGGATGCTGTGATAGCACATTGCAGGGAGTAGTGTACCCCCCTTCAGCGAGGTGACCTGGGCAGAGTGAGGAGCTGCCGTGGGGAGAACAGGAGAGCCGAACACCTCTAAACTCCACTGGCCTCACACTGACATGGCTCCAAAATATCACAGTCTTGTTCGGGCATAGGAAATGGCTCCATCAGCATCACTCAGCACAGTTCCCACTGTGACCCAGTATGTGTTATCCTATCCATTTTGTAGTTCCTTCTTTCTCCCAGAGAGGAAGGAACAGAAATGAGGAATTCCACATTGATTTCCAAGTGGATGTCCTGAATCAAAGTGCATGTAACTGTACACTGATCCCAGTTGTTCCCAACATGACAGGTGTAATGACAATGTTTTATTACCAGCGTGTATCCCTTGCACAGCAGTTACATCTATTATTATGGAGCTTGTATATGCAGAGGAAACAAATGAAAACCAGAATTAGAAGAAGGATTAGTTAAGGAAAACCATCTAGCCTGATGCCGACGTTTGCAATTTTAATCTGCTGAAGTAGCACTATATTAAAATTGTGTTGCGTGAGTGCTTTCCACCTTTTCTCACTTCCTTGTACTATTCCACCACTGCCCACCAGTGGCTGCTTTTGTGCCTTCCTCATAGTTTCTTGCACTGAGTTTCCAAAACTAGACTGCAACTTCCCAGGTCCATCAGGCTGTGTCACTAACTGTACAATTTGATTTTTTTTTTATTTTTTTTTTTTTTTGGAAAAGAATTCCTGGCAATGAAAAGGAAAGGATCCTTCTGCAGGAAACAATTACTTGCCTCCAGTCCTCTCCTAATCCATGGGATTTGAGTCTACAGCTCTGCTCTCCTTGGCCTATGCCCTCCCTGTTGCCTATGCCTGCAGGAGTGGGGCTGCCCCTTGCTGGCACCCAGTGTAGTGGGGAATGTGGGGAGGGAGGATCAGAGACAGTGCAAAAGGACTATGATTCTGTACTGCTAACTAGTCTGGGACAGTACCAGGGCTATTTATTCTTATTAAAACATCCTACCTTTAGGATTTCCTGCCCTCACTCTGAAACACATAAATATGCAGACGAGGTCTTCATGGTCTGGGTTTTGAGTCTGCAAGATGAACAGTTTTTCTCTTTCCCCCTTATTTTGGCAAGGTAAATTATTTCTTCTTGTCTCATTAGGGACAGGATTTCACCTCACACCTGAAAGAGCTGAGGCGAGTTTCAGAGCTAGACCCAAAGCTTGGGAACTGTCTTTGGACTCTGGTTGTGGCCCTTCCCCTGGCTCTGCCTCTGACCAAGCGCTTCCCCATGCCTCTGTATCCCTCTGGCAGGACAGGATTATTCTGCTAAACTGCTTTAATACAGGGCTCTGGGAGAGGCTGGAGAAAGCCCTTGAAATACTAATGGAAAAACCATAGCAGTTCTCACTTTCTAGACGTGTCCATATATAGCTCAGTTGGGGCAGTCTCTGAGCAGAGTTATTTATTCCAGCAGCCTGTGTGCTCCTGTGGCTTTCTCCAGCGCTGCTCTGTTGCACAGGTTTACATTCCCAGGGGCTGAATCCTGAAAAGATCAGCTTTGAAGAGCACGTTGTGGCATACCTCAGCCAGGAACTCAAAGTCTCCCAGTCCTGGCCTTATACCCTGTCTCTTGCCAGGTCAGCTAAGTGGAGTCTCATCTGCTGCTGTTAGTGTTACAGACCAACAGCAAGGTGAGACCAGCACTGCTTTGTGCCATGTGCATGCTGCACGTGCAGATGTGCACAAGGTGATGATGAAATATAGCTTTTAGCTCATTTCCTTCCTGTATTTCAGTTGTTCAAGGTATCAATCAACACCCAGAGAAAATGGGAGAGGTGCAGGAGTGCTGGCAAGTCTCTGGGATTTCAGTGTGTGCTCCTGGAGGAATGCCACGTCGGTGCCATGCTCCATGTGTGCCCAGGTGTAAGAGCAATGCCACCTCCTGCAAGGGCCCCAGGGCTGTGTGTGACACTGTCCTGACAGAGGTGGCTGCCGGCAGGTGCCTTGGTCTTGGCTCTGCCCCCGCACAAAAGCCCCGCGTGAATTTTTGCTGCCAGCCCTAAGTCTCAAATTGCCAAGTTCCCTGAGAAGGCCATTCCTCTCAAGGTGACAGAGCCCAGCACAAATCCCATTGTGGGATCCAGTTTTTCTTTTGGGTGCTTCCCAGTTATGCTGCTGCTGTTGTCCCTGTCCCCGCTTCCTCCCCATGACCTTGTCCGGCCTCAGGGCCACCTGATCACCTGATATCTGTGGTGTCCTTGCTCCTGGGTGACATGTAGCTCCAGCTCATCTCCCGCGGGCCGCTGCCCTTCATCTGAAGCTGAGAAAGCTCATGCATCACATCTGGACAAAGAAATCAGAAAGCTCACCCAAAGCTGCGCTTCTCACTCACAGAGGAGGACAGCATTGGTGGCTTCCAGTTACAACATGGCTTTCCCAGTGATTACAGGAGTCTTTACAAATTCACCAAGCCTTATTCTGGAGCTGGGCCAGGACAAGTGTAGTCTAGGCTCCCCCACAAGCATTAAGGCTCTGTAAAGGGCTGTGCACCTCTGCATTTGCAGGGCCAACTTATTTTCTCATTGGTGCCAAGGTAAACCTCAGGCAGCACCAGTGCGAGGACTCAGCCACTGGTGAGCAGAAGGTATGGCTCCAGGAGGAGTGCCAGCAAGGTGCAGTGAAAGCTTACTGGGTGCCCCTTGAGCCACCCAGGCGTCTTTCCTGGGTGCTGGCCAGAGCATCAGATCCAGTGTTATCTGAGGACAGATATGGGACTTTTATGGGACTGCTTTCTCTCCCACGTAAGGACAAAATTTCTCTGTTTATGCCATTTAAAGTATTGAATGAGTGTATAAGTGTGATTAATTTAACCAAAGTACTGGGAGAAATCTTTTAACCATAGAAATCAGCTTCAGTAGCAACATTTTATAAATGTGGCTCAAAATTAGACTTTAGAAACCCTGTCTGTGTAACACCATGGCCTGGATTGCACTTGGCTGCACTCCAGGAACCCATCCGATACCCATGAGAGATTTCCAGCTGGGAGGGAGCCCAGGCTGTAAAATGGCCACCAACACCACTCATTTGACAACCGGTATGTTTTTCTAGCATGTTCAGATGAGGGGAATATATTTTATATTTACAGTCAGCAATAGTTGGAGAGACAGTCTCCTCTTCAGCTGTTATATACAACTCTGGGCTCTAAGGCTTTCTTGCAAATCACAGCATTTCAGCACCCCCCCAAAAAAAAATAATAAAAAAAATAAGATAATGTGATTCTGTTGAACTAAATATTGTCCTATAAACTGTAAGTAACAAGCTTAATAACGCTACAGTTTTTGTGGTATCCTGTTACTATAGCAAGGCTTCAAGGTCACGCTGCCTCTTTTGTAGTCATCTGACGGGATGCCTACATTCCTTATCACCTTCTGGTTTGTAGCTGAGAGTCTTGTGCTTCCTGATGACAGCTCTAAGCCATGGAGTCCTCACTGTTTTCCAAGCAATCATTAGAAAGACACAGGGGAAATAGACTGCAGTGTGGGCAACCTGCCCCCTATCACTTGTACTTTATTGTCTGCATGATATGGGTCAAATCCTGCTGATTTACAGGTTTCTTCCTACAGGTATGTTATTCTGACTGCTCAAGGACCCTGAAGAAGTGCCTGCACCTTACGAAATCCATAAAGGACCAGAACATATTCATAACAACCCAGTCTCACTGCTGGGGAGCGTGTCTAGCAATTGATTTAAGGTGACTAGTTAAGACCACTTATATCTGAGCACTCTCTCTACTGCATCTTGAGGTCATCTCAATCTCAGCAATCATGAATTCTGAAACCAGAAATTTGGACCTCTTTTGCACTTGCTAGTTTTTGAATGTTGGATTTTTTTTTTTATATTATTTTTTTTTTTCCTGCAATTTTGAAGAGGCTTGAAACAGACAGTTTAGAAAAAAAAAAAAAGTAAAATAAAAATCCCCACTGTGTTTCCTTCCCCGCCTCCTGCCTAAACAGTGTAGATTTCTGCCTGATCTACCATTCCCAAAGCATCAATTAGTCTGAGGTGTGAGAAAACCATATAAAGCGTTTCTGCTGGTAGAGTGCTTACAAAGGGAAACAACCCTGGTCTTCTCAGAGAACATGGAAAAGTAAGAAAGCAAAGTAGCTGAAGAGATTGCATTTCAATATTAAATTAGGAAAACATATTGGACCTCATACCTCTGCTTATTGAGGGCTTTAAGCTTCTGATCCCAGGGAATATAATTTCTTGAAAATACAGTGACAAAGATGGAAAAGAGGAAAACTCTTCACCAAGTAAGGTATTTTTACTGTAAAGTAATGAATGGAGAATGAATATAGCCAGTCTGTAGTGATCCAATAAGGAAATCAGACTAGTGTGATATTTCACACCAATGAGTGAAATGGGTTTTAAAGAGAACTTGGAAAAAAAAAAAAAAAAAAGAAAAAACAATGTATGGGGACTTCTGTGCCCTTGGAACAGGCTATTCCTTCAGACTTGACCTCTTTGTGGAAGAAAAAAAAAAAGTGACTTCATGGTTCAGGATCTAAATGTTGCCAAGAGATAAACTATTTATAGGCTTAACACCTGACTAGGTGTTAAATAGCTGTCGGTGATAAACCTCTTGGTGCAGAATTATTAATTCAGACTGAGACTGGACTAAAAAAATATTTTACTTTTTTTTTAAAGAATGCTTAAAAAGATTGATGTAGGATTTAAGATGCATTTTTTAAAAGTTTGTTTAATGCAACTTCTGCAAGTTATGTGTAACTCAGCAGGATTAGAGAATTTTGGGAATGACAGTGAGGTCCTTTACCTGCATGTAAATATTACAAAATAAATAAATAAAATGTATCAGTGAATGTATGTAAAAGAAAATCACCTGTTTAAATACAGCACTGTAAAGGAAATGGGTCTAACTACACTAAATGCCTCAATCTGCAAGCTGGATCCATGCTTTACTGCATTCCCTGGGTGGTGGCCCCCATCTTGCTAACACAAATATTCCCTTGACCCCAGTATATTTGTTTTAAAAGCAAGAGAAAAAAGTATCAAAGTCTGTTGGACTGACTGGATTGTTTGGAGAAGCTGACAGAGCACTATTGACCTTAGACATATTGGGGGGGGGGGGGGATCATGGAGCATGACTTTATTCATTTTATAGTGTAATAAATGTTTCAACATATCACAGCCCTCTTGGTTGTCTTGCATGATGCTACAGGGGTCACAACCAATCTGCCAAAAAGTACTGAGCTATAAAACAGTCTGGAGCCTCTTCTACTGCAACTCTAATCCTCTAATAAATAAGTGGAGAAAACCAGCCTGTGTCACTCACGCAAGAGAGGATGCACAAGTTCAGATTTGTCTCCCATCCGCTCGGCTGCCATGCAAGTTTGCTCTCCTTGAGCCATTTTAGGGCAAGCTCCACAGTTGTTTGGAGGGAGAGAAGCCAAACATGCTCAAAACCCAAGCCCTAGGGTCCAAGGATGTGTCTGTGTGGTCTGAGAAAAGCCCTAAGCAGGGCCAATGTGGCATAACTTGTCTAGGCAGGCTTCTTGGGTTGGCTGTAGCCAGCTATTGTATGGCTGTGTGGAGCCAGGAGCACAACAGAGCCACCAGCCAGCCATGGAAGTGGGAAGCAAGGGGGCCAGGAGGGTCAGAGTGCTTATAGCCACTTTCAGTGCAGCCTGTGATTGCAGTGGTGGTGTGGTGAAGCCATCCAAGCATCACTGCCCTATTCCTCATGAGCAGCACCCCTTCTGACTGCTGTACAGTGGGTGGAGTTTGCAACCCAAAAGCTCCCCGTGCCAGAGGTGCACTTTAGACCCAATAGCAGACAAGCTCAGCAAGAGAGAAAAGAAATACAAACTTTGTGAATCCTTTCAGCAGCTTCATGTCCTCTTGGCCTAAACCAATTCCCGAACAGGCATCACCAACAAATTGCTGCAGTGCCTGACAGCTGCGTGATGCAGTCCTGACTTACTGCTCCCCAAGCACAGTTGTACTGCTGTGAGCGTTTTTCTCTCTTGCACTGGTATCAGCAAGAGCAGCGTGTGTTCCCAGTTCACAGCCATGAGGCTATGCAGACGTCATGGTCAAACCGGGCTGCGGCTGTCCCGCAGAAGGGACCTGGCTGTCCTGCCCTGTACCTGCAACTCAACCATGCTGACCCAGCACACAGGCTTAGCCCCAGTCCCTGCTGTGCCCCTGGGCCCTGAGCTGGCAGCCGTCACCTCTCTGCACAGCTCACTGCTGGTGATGGGATTCACTGGACCGAAGCTACGGAGCAAAATCAGGCAGTGACAATCACTGTTATTACAGTAAAGAGCCAGCAGATGCTTTGGAGTAACACTTGCTGTCAGGCAACTTGTCACTGGTTTTCAGTAGGAAATCTTCAGAGTTTGAATTTTGCAACTTTCTTCTCTAGTTTTTGCTGCCTGAAAGGAAATGAAGAAGTACTCAGGGTTGGTTTGAAGGAGTTAGTTCAAACATGAGAATGAAATATGTTGGTAAAGGGATCCTTCAGAGTCGAAGGTACTTGTAAGTGTGCTATGCCACACAAGGAAGATATCCACAGTGTTGGAGGAGTGTATAAAAATAAGTGCCCTTTAAGGGGGAAATCTGGTAGTGCTCAGATAGTTCAGTTTCCCAATGGCCTCCTGAAATAGTCGTAATGCTAGTAATCAAAATACTTAACGATAGTAAGCACTAATGTCCTGTGGTACAAGACATTAATGAGATCTGTTCCCAGATATCGTGTGTAATGTTCTGGAAAGGCAGACTTGGAACAGACAGGTGCAGGCAGGGAGAGCTGAGCAGAGCAGGGGAACTGAGAACTCGTCTGGGACAAGGGAAACTTGGCTGGCTTAATGCTAGCGAGAATGTGTCCCAGGGTGGATACCACTGCTTTCTATAAATAAAGCAAGGGCATAACACCAGGGAGAAAGAAGAGCTTGTTAAACTAAACAGCAGAGTTGGCAGCAAAAGAAATAAAGGGCCATGAATCAATTAGAACAAAGTTTCTAATCAGAGGCAAGAGGTCTTGAACAATACATCACCGAGTGTAAAGGCAGCTGGGGTTAGGGCTGTGTTGTCATCCAGCGGTCCTTTTGCAGACTGTCATTGCAGGCTACACCCTCTTGAGTGCCCTCTAAGGCTAGCAGTTGCTAAATCATTTTGCCCATATGCATTGAAAGTCTCCTGGAGGCTAAAAGCTCTGCATCCCCCTGGGCCCAGCACTGCTTGGGTTGAGCAGCTTCTTGCTTCTGCTTGCACCTATGCCCCATCAGAAGTGGCTGATCAGCAGCTGAGGTCCTGAGGGAGAGCTCACTTCAGTGGGGTGGCAGTGGGCCATCAGGACCAAGAGCCTAGCAATATTCATCAAGACCCACTTTATTTTAAATGACTTGAAGAGGGAGAGGCAGTGCTCCACCACCCACACTTGTACAAAGCAGCTTTTACTGACAGCCAGGCTAAACAGTGGCTAATCCCCACTGACTGGCAAGGAACCTGAGCTCCCAGATCTCAAGTCCCCTTTGGCTCCTATGCCTATAAATCAGGATTGGCACTGCCAAGTACTGTTGTTCTGCAGCCCCTTACTGTGTCTAGCCCAGATTTCTTAACTAATTTTTGATGGGTCTCATTATATTCTAAATGGGGATTATACGTAATGTTTGCTGACAACAGCAGTAGGGGACAAGACTTAAAGATGCAGTGGATTCAATTTAGTACCTTTCTCCTGTTACTGTACTATCATGCTAATTAATTTTATTAAGTGAATAATTGGAACAAGGGAGATGCATGAAGTTGGGTGAAGGCTGTGTGCAGACAGCGGCAGCCCAATGTTGCATGATCTGATATTGTGGTGGGGGGATCATAGTCCCTACAGTCATTTTAGGACTGTAGTCCCCCTTAGACTATGTGGAGAGCAGCAGCAAGCTGAGTGGCTGCCCCAGCACATCTATACTACTGCAGCCTCAGAGATGAGAGTTCAAAGGCAATTAATGGTCAAAATAAGGTTAGACAAAATAGAAACATCAGCAATGTGTAAATGGTGGTGGAAGGAGAGTTTCTCAAACTGTATGCCACATACCTGACTCTCAATTTTTCAAGCTATGCTAACAGTTTATTTTTCTTTCCCTCTGTCATTTCATTCAGTTCTACTTCTGCCTGGGACTTCAGATTGATCATCTCCTCTTCACGTCATTACCCTTAAAAAACATCTGAAACTTAAGAACTTGGTTCCTGTCTGGCACAAACAAACAAACAAACAAACAAACAAACAAAATAAATAAAATAAAATAAAATTGCACTTAAAATGTGGATGAGGCACCTGAATCTGTTGGGTGAACTACCAACTTATCTAATATCCTGGATAGGCTCATTAGTTTCCAGCAGATTGACAAGAATAATAATCAACTTGTCCACACTGAGACTGGAGCATGAGGGAAGATGCTCAGGGTTGTTGTTAAACCCAGCCCAAAGGACTTTACAGCACAGGCAAAGACATAATAAGCTTCAGTCTGCAGAGGCTGCAGCGCTGACTCCTGGGCCATGGTAAAATACAAAAGCACTGCATTTAGGTTGTGTACTTGTGAGAAAGGAGGGGGAAGAGAGCACGTTACTTCCCTTTGGAGAAAGACAATCATTTGCAGCTCTTCTCTTGCTCTAGCAGAGTGCCTGCTACTTAAATGCCCCACTGACTGCACCATGTGTGAAAGTGCAAATGCTCCCCACGAATAGCCACCACAGTCACCCAGGGACACATCAGGACTAAGCCCTGACACCAGGGATCTTCTCCTACCTCAGAGTGGGAAGGATGCTTACATCTTGCGGCTTGGCAGCCACCTCTGCTTTCCACTGGGATGCGGCTTCCATCCCCTCTTCAATTTCTTGCCTCTTGGCAATGAGCTCTGCTGTGACACGATTGACTTCAACCTCCCTCTTTAGAAACAGAGCCTTCTGGAGTGTATTTGTAGAGCTTTCCAGAGTCTTGCTGGGGGCCTACCAAGTGAACAAGTCAGTAAAGGCACACAGCAAATCCCCTTGTGCTTGCATCGAGCCAAGTCAGAGCCAAGTCAGACAATAACTTTTTGTCTTTAAGCTGGCCAAAATCTCAAGTTCTACCCCCTCGCCCTCACAGTGCAGGCATACACTTACATCAAGGCTGCAAACCAGAACAGAAGTGTGACAGATTTAAGTTCCCATTTAGTCAAAGTAAACCCCTAAGACATCCTTGGGCCATACTAAGAGCTACTGTGACCCAGGGTCCCATCTTGCCAACGCCCCCAGGAAGCGTAAAGTGGGGAGAACCTCTTCAATCAGAGGTGCAGTGGGGCTGGGCAGGACCTGCCCCATCACAACCTGTAAGGCTGGTGGGACACTGACACGTGGGTCTGAACAGCTCTTGGAGTCTTTGACATCCATGGAGCTGACTGGATCAAGCTGGGAAGTGTGTGAACTGCAGCCCAGTCTCACTCAGAGCTTCGTTATGGTGGAATTGGTGCCTGTTGACTGAAATGAATAGTGAGTTGCCACACATGGGCTTGTGTGTGACAGACTTGCCAGATATGGGCCTCTCCTCCAGAAAGGTCTAACCTTGTGTGGTGTTTTTAATAGAACATAGAGTAAGTATCCTGGTTATCTCTAGGTATTTAAAGACATGCCAAAGTTAGAAGATTAATCAACTTTAAAGCTGATAAACAAAAATAAACACCTCAAGAGGTCATCGTGGCCCACTCAAGCTCTGTGGTGGTCAAGGATTTACTGCCTCTCTTTCTCTTTCTCATGGTTCAGTGAAGTGTAAAGTGATGAGAACATGAAGCATGGGTCAATATCTACAGTTATGTGGGACAAATATGGGCAAAGGAGAGTGGAAAAGGAACTGAGCAGGTGCTGAGGCATGTCCCACTTTCTGTACAAAGGAAGGAGTAGCTGAGGTAGGACACACAACATGACACAAACCAAACAGGTCCATAACTAATGATGCTATTGTAGAAGACTTGGAACTAAGTTTTATTTCCTTAACACAGAATGTTTTTCTTCTTCAATTTTATTACTGGTTTGTTACCTTGTTCTCATCATGAATTACTGCTTTTGTGTTGCTCTGTGTATAAAACTAAAACATACATATTCTGACGTACAACTTATTTTGAGGGAAGTCCCCACGTAGTAACGTGGCTTGGCCCAAATTTGAGCAGATATTTTGAATCTACTACATGCTTGGCTTCCTGCACTCGTGACAATGCTGCACCTGGCTGAGAGGGCTGGATGTATGCACTGTACACTGAGAGGGCAGCATTTGATTTAAGAGTTAAGAGGTTGCTTTGATTTAGGGAGAGAATGCAGTTTTCTGGGATTCTCTGACATATGAATAGGCAAAAAGATTTGTTCAAGCTCACAGGATGATGGAGATGTGAATGACACCTTTGCCTTCTTCTTCCCTAGGAAAATACAGAACAGTCAATCAAATCAACCAAAACTGTTAGCCAGATCATGATTTTTTACTCCCTGTTTACTCATCTGTATGTGGTGAAATAGCCCTTGGCTTCAGCAGGCATTTTGCCCTTAGAAAATACTTCATAATCAACCCTCTCTATAAAACCGTTAAAGAATGGTGTCACACAAGAATATGCAGAAAAAGATTAAGGTAACACAGGGCTGCCTACCTTTCATACCCCAGTATGGGAGAGAGGAAAGCAACTCCTGTCCCTGATTCCTTGCAGAAGGCAGGCTGAAGGTGACTGTTTTTCTTTCCCTTCCCTTGGGACCAGAGATAGGGACTGACCAGATGTTAGTAGTGTTGATACTACCACCCAGGCCATGCATGACACAGTTGTAGGTCTTCTTGGTTATCCTTTTGTTCCAGACTTGAGCTCTCTCTGCTGGCAGGTAACACCAACAACATGGCACAAAGTGTTTTTGTCAGCCAGGAAAAATTATTGAATAGAGGTGATTTTAAAAAATTAGTGTTACTTATTTGCCAGCAGAGACTGATCAGGCAACAGCTTTCATCAGGTTCCCTTTGATAATATTTCTAGTTACTGAATTTATGTTAGAACACAATCATTTAATTCTTTGACCAAGTCATAAGCTCAATAATGCTGATGTAAATTGAAAGAGAAACTGTTTTATTCATTGGTGTTACAGTCTTGTAAGTTAGAAGAGCTGAGGCAGGGTGCATCTCCTTGTCTCTAGTAGGTTTGTCTTCAAAATACTGAATGCAGTGACGGCTTGTGAAAAGTTCTAAAAATTATATGAATTGTTGACAGACAAATTTTAATATTCTGATTTTTATCATTCTTTGTTGATTTCAAAAGCAATTGCACTACTTGGAAAAAATTTATGATGCAAGGTAATTTCAGGGGGTTTTTATATTTCAACTTTTCTTTCAGATTTAAGATTAAGCTAAATAGAAATGAAACAAGAAATCTGTTTTTTTTTAAGAAAGGCTATGTTGCATGTTTTCAAACACATCAAGAATTTGCTCCTGGAATCAGACCTTGCATGAAAAAATATCAGCTGTAGTGATGATTTTCTTAATACGTCACTTAACCCTGATAATAGTAATTACATGTGGTGCATTGTCATGGCATATAATTATACGGCTGTGCTTGGTAGTGCATGATAGCAAAGATGAGAAAGGACTATACATACACAAAGAAAAGAGTCACTCTGGCACTTTCAATGCCAAAGGGATTTTGGTCTGTGTATTTACAGAGATTACTTACTTTGAAATGTGTACAAAATGAATGGGTGCCTTTATTTATTTATATACGCACATGTATATCCATACACATATGGCCAGGGCTCCTTTTGAGGAAAATTTAGATGAAATAAAGACCAAGGGAATATAAAACAGACCTGTGCAGCTTCTTGACTAGTTGGTGCCAAGATTATACTTTAGTATATACTTTAGCACACAGGGGCCAGGCAGTAAACAAATTGTACTATATCTTGCAATGAAGAGAGGCATCCAGGAGGTAGATGTGTTTTCCAACAAGAAGGTTCAACCCACAAAGTATCAGCAGGGCAGTCATTATATAAGACTTTTCTCTTAAGTTTAAAATTAATCTTCAAATCTGAAAACTTGAATTTTTATAAATCCACAAGGCCAGATCCTGATAGGCAAGAATCACATGTATTTTAATCAGTGTAATTCAGTGTGTGATGGTCTCTTGAACAGATCCTTCCTTATGGATAATGCCGCAAAATGGCTACAAATTCTGGAAGTCTCAAATGTCAGGACAGAGGCCTTTGAAGGCAGGCTGCAAGAGAATGGTCCCAAAATGTGCAAAACTAATGGGCATGTCTGGTATGTTGCTGATTCTTCTGAAGAGAGGTTCTGTTGGAAAGAAATGCTGCCAAAACACGTGGAAGAGACACTTTTGTGCTATTTTGAGAAGACCCACAAACAAGTCAGCCAGATGTAAGGCAGCTAGACAAGTAGGTTTGGACAGTAATTCCGATCAAGCTAGTCAATGCATGTATGTGTCAGAGCTCCATGGTATATAAATAAGTATCACAGTGGTAGGCACATTACAATTGAGCAGTGGATTAAGTGGGCTCACACATGAGCAGCAGCTGCACACACTCAGTTTCCCAGAGCTGTCCTAAGCTTTCTGGGGCTGAATCAAGCAGTTGTGCACATGTGTGTCATATTACTTCTTTGGGGTTGTTCTGTCTTTTTATTTTTATTGACTCCAAATTATCTGCTATAAATTTTAATTTTGAAATGATGAATCATCTCACTGCCTTCTACAATGTGCCTTCCCCCTGTTGCAAGACAGATTTAAATTCAGTCAATGTAAGCCATCTGTAGAAATGTAGCAAATACCCAATAAATGGTTGGTGCCTACTGACATCTCTCCGGTTTGTTTTTATTTTCTGGGATGCCTCACTTTATGCACAACACGAAGTTTACACAGAGCTGTTTCACATATACAGGAAAACTGCTATTTAGTCATTCCTGCTCTTTGTCCTAAATTCTTTAGAAACACTTTTATTTCTGAGAATTCCTTGCCACTATATTCCCCATATAGTTTCCTTCTAAATTTAAGAATATGGCAAGTCTCCTGTTGATCTCTGGTCAGCAGGGAGAGCGCATCAAGGAGTTGAGCTCTGTGGTGCTACAGCTGCCTTCCTGCCATGGTCACAATGGTGTTCCCCTGGCAGATTCAGCCGTACCCAGGCAGGGTCAGGGTATCAGGGGCTTTGGGGCTTACCCTGGCAAATACTTCTTCCACTATGCAAAGCACTGCCCAG